AATAAATTATTCACCAAAATAATAATTTTGGGAATAATTATTGAATTTTGCACTGCTAAAATAAACAATACATTGGTTTTGAAAGTCTTTAGAAATTTGGGAAAAATACCAAAATACTTGGGCATGCTTATGTATGCATATATATGTTATTTTGAAAGTATTTTGAGTGTAAAAAAAAATACTTAGGAAAAAATTGGGTATCAACAAGTGGCAGTCGTTGTTGCCAAATCCTCATATCATTCCCCCCAGTGTTTGAATGCAAAGAACATTGGAAGTTTTATGCCTTCGAGGATTCCACTAGTGAAATGCTAAATAATCTTCAGTTCAGTAACAAACTTTGCTTCCCCTTAGGAATTTATGCTATCAAGCAAAAGATTATCTAATAATCCCCCAGTGGGTTGCACTTATGAATGGTCGGATAATCTCTTTTCGATAGCAAACTTAACTTCCCGGTAGGAACTTTGCTATCGAGCAAAAGACTATCTAACCACTCTGAAGCGGTTCTTTGCTTGTGTGCCTTGTCATTTAAAGGTCCTATTACTGCTGTTGAAACTTCCTTCGTATTATGATGTCCGTTTCTGCCTTGTTAAAAATCTTGCCAGAAAAACTCAATTGGGACAAAAACTGGAAGAAGGGAAAAAGAGTGCAGCACATACTTTCAGTACATGTGATGTCCATCAACAATAATATCTCTTGAGGTGTGCCACGTTCCAGTTGCTTGACAACCTTTCTCCATCTTGATTCTCTAACTCGTATGATCCTTTTCCAGTGACAACGGAAACTCGGTAGGGGCCTTCCTATGTTGGACCTAACTTCTCATTGAGCTCCCGGGTGTTTTGAGTCACTTTCCTTAAAACCAACTCTCCCATTTTGAAATAATGGAGGTTGACTCTTCGATTGTAATATCTTTCTATTCTCTGCTTTTGGGCTGCCATCCTTATATGCGCCAAGTACTACATTCATCGAGCAGCTCCAAATTGACCAACATTGCCTCATTATTTGTTTCTTCATTCACCCAAAAATATCTCAGGGTAGACTCCCTTACTTCCACCGAGATTAGGGCTTTTGCTCCGTACTCGAGGGAGAAAGTAGTCTCTCATATGCTTGATTTGGCCATTGTTCGGTACCCCCATACTACACCAGGCAGTTCTTTGGGCCATTTACCCTTAGCTTCTTATAATCTCTTTCTGAGATTTTGTATAATCACCTTGTTTGTTGATTTTGCTTGACCGTTTACGCTCGGATGGTAGGGTAAAGATGTGATCCTTTTACTTTTCAAGTCTTCAAGGAACTTTATGACCTTTGTGTCTATAAAATGTGGCCCGTTGTCGCAGGCTCTCTCTTTGGTATCCTAAATATGCAAATTATATTTTCCTACAAGAAATCTACCACTTCACATTCACTGATTTTCTGATAAGGACCTACTTCAGCCCACTTAGAAAAATAGTCAGCTAAAATCAAAAGAAATATTACCTTACCGGGGGCCGGTGCTAGTGGTCCAATGATATCTATTCCCCACTTCATGAATGGCAATAGTGAAAAATTGAGTGCAACGACTCTGCCGGTTTATGTATCAACGGTGCGTAGCGTTGACATTTATCAGATTTTTTAACATAAGTTTTGGCATCTTGTTCCATCTAGGGACAACAGTATTCTACCCTAATTAATTTTAATACTAATGAATCTGCATCTGAATGATTTCCGTAGATCCCTTCGTGGACTTCTTGCATAACATAATTTGCTTCAGAGGCTCCCAAACATCGAGCCAGCGGGCCTTGGAAAGATTTTCTATACAATTGACCTCCTTTGAAACTATATCGCGCTGCCTTAGTGCGTAGCGCCCATGATGCCTTCGGATCTTCAGGAAACTTTCCCTGCTCAAGATAATCAAATGATCTCATTCCTCCAGTCCCAGAACAAATTATTCTTGTTTACCTCGTAGTAGCTATATGCGTCCACCACCGAGTGCATAAGTTGTACGACCGTACCTGAGTCTGATCTTTTCGTTTTCGTAGACGAGCCAAGGTTAGCTAGTGCATCAGCTTTCGCATTCTCTTCCCTCGGGATATGCGTAATTGACCACTCCCAAAACTAAGCAAGTAGAGTGAACCTTCACTACGTATTGTTGCATGCGTTCCTCTTAGGCTTCGAAGATCTCGTAGATCTGATTTACCACCAACTGGGAGTCGCATTTGATATTTATGATCTCACAGTCCAGTCCCGGGGCCAATTCGAGCCCTGTAATTAAAGCTTCATACTCTGCCTCATTGTTAGTCAAGGGAACAGTTCTTGTGGCCTACTTTAGGGTTTCTCCCGAGGGCGTGGTTAATACTATGCTGAGCCCAGACCCTTTCATATTGGAATCTCTGTCCGTGAACAAGATCCAAAGTCCTGATGTCAATTTCGACACCATTACTACTTCTTTCGTAGCGAGAGGTAAAGGTTTTGGACTGCAATCTGCCACAAAGTTGGCCAAAGCTTGTGACTTAGTTGCAGTCAAGAGTTATATTCTATGTCAAATTCACTCATTTTGACGGCCCACTTAGCCGGCTACCCGAAAGTTTGGGTTTATGAAGGATATTCCGTAGGAGAAAGTGGTCGCCATAGCTATCGAGTGACATTGGAAATAAGGCCTTAGTTTTCAAGCGACGACTACGAGGGCTAAGGCTAACCTTTCCATTTTTGGGTAGCAAGTTTCTGCTCCCGTTAAAATTTTACTAATCTAATAAATAGGCGATTGTGTATCTTCGTTCTCACGGAGTAAATCGATACTTACCGCTACCTCAGAGACTACTAAGTAGATCAATAAATTTTCACCTTCCTCCGGTTTTGATAGTAACTGAGGACTTGACGAATACCTTTTCAAATGCCTCAAAGCCTGTTGACATTTCGGGGCCCAATCAAAGTTGTTCTTCTTTTTGAGAAGCGAGAAGAAATGATGGCATATCTCTGAAGATCGGGAAATGAATCTGCTCAAATCGACCATTCTCCCCATTAGCCTTTGAACCTCTTTTACGCTTGGTAGCTGGTTCGACATTTCCTCGATGTCTTTGATTTTATCAACGTTAACCTCAATCCACCTTTGTGATACCAGGAATCCCAAGAACTTACCGAAGCTAACCTCGAATTCACACTTCTCGGGGTTAAGCTTCATATTATGCTTCCTTAAGATGTCAAAAGTTTCTTGCAAGTGTTTAAGATGATCATCTGTGTTCAAAGACTTAACAAGCATATCATCTATGTAGACTTCCATGATTTTCCCTATTTGCTTTTCAAACATTTTGTTCAAGAGCTGTTGATAAGTGGCTCTAGCGTTCTTTAGCCCATAAGGCATCACATATATGTGCCAGAGTTCATTACAAACAAAGTTTTTTCTTGATCTTCCGAGTTCATCTCGATTTGGTTGTACCCGGAGTAAGCATCGAGGAATCTCATTAACTCGTGCCCGGCCATTGCATCAATCATTTGATCAACGTTTGGTAATGAGAATGAGTCTTTTGGACACGCCTTATTTAAGTCCTTATAGTCTACGCACCCGCGAAATTTATTCTTCTTCGTTGGAACTACTACTACATTAGCTAGCTAGTCAGGATACTTTACCTCTTGGATTGAACCGATATCGAGCAAGCGAGTTACCTTTTCTTTGACAAATTTATTTCTAGCCTCAGTAATAGGATATTTATTTGTATTTTACCGGAGGGATGCTGGGATACAATCTTAGCTTATGTACGACCACTTCTGGCAGGATACCTGTCATATCTGCATGCGACCATGCAAAAAATCGGCATTAAATTTGATAATTCAATTAATCCAGATATGAGTTTGAGTTGCAGTCCTATCCCCTAGTGAATCTTCCTCTCCAAGAACTTTTCGAATAATGTGACTTGCTCAAGTTCTTTCGTTGTGGACTTTGTTGTGTCCGTCTCTTCTGCTACCTTGAAGTACCTTGGCACATGATAGGGTTCCGACGACTCTTCCCCTTGGTTGACTTCGCTTGACTTAGGAGCAGGCACTGGTTCCTACAATTGCTATGTTGCATGCTCCTTCCTTTTACTATCGGAGACTGAGATTGCGTTCATTTCCCTTGCTGCCGGTTGGTCACCTCTTATTTGTTTAATTCCCTCGGGAGTTAGGAATTTCAACAACTGGTGTTATGTCGATGGCACAACCTTCATCTGATGCAACCACGGTCTACCCAGGATAATATAGCCATATCGCCGTCCACCACCTTGAAAAGTGTCATCTTCATCACCGCTTCAGCATTCGTGGGCAAAAAAATCTCTCATCGGGTCGTCACACTTGCTAGGTTGAACCCGACAAATAGTTTTGTGGCCGAAATAATGCTTTCAATGAGCTTGGATTGCTCCAATACCCTCCATTGTATGATGTTGGGCAAACTTCTTGGATCCATCAGAACACGTTTAATTAAATCTAAGACATTTAATGAGATTACCAGCGCATTGTTGTTCGGTAGCAGCAATCCATATGCGTCTTCCTCCGTGAAAGTAATGTCGTCTTCAGCGACTTCCCTGAGTCTCTTGATGTGGGTTACTCATACCTTTGTATTTTTTTTCCACCGAGAATGTAACCCTGTTAATCTTGTTCCCCCCTAAAAATTATTTTGATCGTCAGGTGCACGGGATTTTCTCCTGCTTTTGAAGGTTCTGCATTATCACGATTGCGTCCATAGTTGTTTTTTGCCCGATCACTTAAACATTCCTTGAGATGGATGTTTTTCAGAAATATCGCCACCTCTTCATGCAGATGCCGGCAGTCCCCTATCCGATGACCGTTTGTCCTGTGGTATTCACACCACAAGTTAGGATCCCTTTGGCTGGGATCGAATCTCATTTGCTTCGGGAACCGTGCTTTTTAATTTTCCTCATGGTCATCACCAGCTCCAGTTCGCTGAGGTTGAAATTGTATTCGGACATCTTGCAATAGGAAGAATCACGAGAACCTGATGTTTCCTTGTCCTATAATGACCTGTTATTTTGGCCGCGACCAGATCTCCTATAGGTAGCGAATCTATTCGCTGATCAGAAATCTCTACCACATCCTTCGGCCTATTCATAGGGCAAAAACTGACTCCTTGAAAACCGTCGATTTGTGTCGAAATTATCTTTCGATTTCTGCCTATTCTTCTCCTGGTCCCGACACTTGACCAATGTCGGGAAAACGAGCTGGTCATATTCAATTCTTATCTTTGATTCATACCGGTTGTGAACATCTTCCCAAGTCATTGCTTGGAACTCGAGCAAACTTTGTTTCAACTTTTGGGAAATGTCAGAGCTTCTCGGATTCAGTCCTTTGGTGAATGCTTCAGTAGCCCATTCGTCCATTACAACTAGTAGCAATATCCTTTCCTTCTTGAATCTAGTTACAAACTCTCGCAGTAACTCGGACTCTCCTTGTGCAATCCTGAATATATCGGTCTTTCGGGCCTGTACCTTTCTGGCCCCAGTATATGCCTTGACGAAAGAGTCCGCGAGCATCTCAAAGGAGTCTGTGGAATGCTCGGAAAAAAGCGAATACCACGTTAGGGCTCCCTTTATAAGAGTCTCCCGAGTTTCTTCAGCATAAATGACTCAATCTCGTAGGGAGCTAAATCGCTCCCCTTCACCGCTATTGTATAGATGGTGATATGCTCATGAGGATCTGAAGTCCTATCATACTTTTGCACATCTAGAATTTTAAATTGCTTCGGGATGAATTCTGGTGCCGTGCTTGGTTGTACGAAAATTGCGTGTACTTCTTTTAGTCCGGCCCTTTCAGCACTAGTGGGGCACCCGGAATGTGATTCATTCGTGCATTTAGTTCCCGTATAAATCGCATGAGCTCAATTTTAAAGGGATCACTCTCGTTGTTGCAACCAAATTCGCTCCCCCCGGCCCAATCGAAGCCGAACCTTGCCCCTCGAGGTGTTGTTGTCGACTCTCTGCGTTGTTTGATTTGCAGGAGCACCAGGAGGAACTGGACCTCGTCTATTCGCGTTGTAAGAAGCACCCGACAATGCCTGCTTTAGCTCCGTCATGACTTTATCCTATCGTGTGAGGTAACCTATAATGGCCTCTTGTTGCTCCTGCAATACCCTTACTGCTTCGACGACGTGCTTTTCTTCAGCATCATCATGAGTCGCCTCCCAAACATGTCGCGAACATCGACCGTCGGGACCTACGTGGCCACATTCCCCTCATTGCGGGTATCGCTGATAGAATCTTCGTGCTGAGGCTGATTTCCTTGGGTGTCAACGTTGTGTGTGTTTTTAACAACATTATCTGCCATTTTAAATGATTTTTGCTAAGGACAAAGAATCAAATACGTTAGTAATAGATGCAAGGATCAATTCAATTACACAACTGTTTATGCCCCACGGTGGGCGCCAAACTATTTACCCGTAAAACGATATAGTATAATTTATATATGATTTATAGACAAGTGAATTAATTTGATCCTGAAATAATAAATGAATTAGACAAAAATGTAAGACGTAGCCTTGAAATTGAAATGAAACAACAGGTATCCTGATCACGGGCGCAAAGCTACCGGGGAAGTAAGACAGTATAAATAAGCAAGCAAGTAAAATGTTATTGAGTTTATGATGGAATAAAGTGTATGCTTGTCAGAAAATTCGTGTCCTTATAATGATGGTAGAGTTCACTATTTATAGCTATACCTAGGAAACAAGGTTCTAGGATCAAGCCTTTCTTAAATGATAATTATGAGGACGATTGAAGAATGTATAATGGTGGGTAGTGAATGCCATATTCTCTATAACGGACCATGCACGTAATGCTATAGAATATTCTTCATTGAATTCTACCGGATGACAAACGTTTATTTTGCCTTCATGAACATTTCTCTCTCCAAGGACAAGCGAGATCATTGCATTCGATTTAATTGTATTCTATTTTTGGCCTCCCGGTGTCACTTTCTCATACCATCATAAAATATGGACATATTTTACCCATACACTCTATGTAAGTAAATTTTTCGAATTTTCTTATTCAGACTCAAAACAATTAGTTCAGTCAAGTGGATGTGTACGTCTAATTCTTGACATCGATTTCATTTGTTTCAACTAGTTTTTTTCTGATGAATAAGAAAGATGGGAGGACACAATGAATTGCCTACTAAAAGGGAAATAAATCTACATAGCTGATTTGAGACGTTTTTTTTATTTTATGGAATGAACATGTGAAGTATTGATGATTATATCTGAAACCTAAGAGGAAGCATTACTTACCCAAGAAGACTCTGCGTTTCAGTATCAGACTGGTTTAATTGCTTGGAAGAAATGGGCAAAGTTAGATAGTTGGGAAGAGTCTATCATCAGCTCATTAATAACAATTCCTTGTACGAATAAGTAGAAGCTAAATGATGGTGGTAACTGAAAAACTAGGTGAAAAGGCAGAAAGACAAAACGTTCACGAAATAGGTATTTACCATAGGTAGCAAAATCGTGTCCAGCGCTAAGAAACAGCTTTGGCAACAAAAAGTAGGAGAAGCAACGCAAACTATAGTGAACCAAATTGCTCATTCATTCTAACATATTATAAGAATCTTATGGTTTTATTAGGTATCCATCTTTCCATGTCATCTCCATCTCCATCCTTTTATATATTTATACAGTTTTGGAGGAAATTAAACAAGGTTACCTAGAAAACTAGAAAAAATAATTAGAGATTATATATATAGGTGAATAGAGGTCATCAGTGTCCTACTCAAGAGACCAAAAACTCGTATTCCATCTCTTTAAAAAAGATTGTCTTAGAGCCTGTTTGAATTAGCTTAAAAAAAAGTAGCTTTTAAGTACAAGTGCTTAAAAGTAGCTTTTAAGTGCTAAAACTTATTTTATAAATAAGTAATTACTTGTTCGGATAAAAGTGATGAAGCTTAAAAAAAACCGTCAAAATGTTTAGTAAACAAGTACTCGTAAACACTTTTTAAAGTTGTTAATATTATAAAGGAGCTGAATACTAATGCATTGTATGTCCCATAATAGATCCCATTCTTGTACTCTTTCCCGGAAGTCGATGACTATTCATAGCTATTACCTTGTACAATATATTTAAATTTGAATTAATACAAATAAAAAATAATTTATATTTGAATTTAATTGATAACTTTAGATAATTTTTATATATATAATTC